CTGGGAAGTGATCTTGGCACAATTACCCAAACATCTGGATTTGAAAAGGGTGAAAGCCATTTCTCCTCACGACACTCTGCAGCCTCATTGTGAAGATACTTCCCTTAATAGTGTATCCCACTTGCATCAGGCAGAGCAACGCTTCAGGCTCCATCTATCAGTTCTTGTGCCAGGGCTCTAAGCACTATATCATTACATAAAATGTTGACCCCATCATAATTTTTCTCCTCCTCCAAAGAGGACTGGGTGATCTGGACCTGAAAAGGGTGGGGGAGTGTGGCATCGTTGGTGAACTCCAACTTGAAGAAGTTGGAGTGAAGACTTGCCGTGGAGATAGAGAGAAACACAACTGGATCATCTTCTGAACTTTGATGAAACAAGAAAACAAAAGAAACACGTTATTTAAGCAGAAGAAAACTCTCCATGAAGACTCCTTTTCCCTCTGCACTGAAAATAGTGAGAAAGTAGATGGTGGTTTTGGTAGAGAGGATTACTTACCTAATGTCAAGAGCCAAACGATTGTGAGGTGCTCCCCAAGTTACCTGGGCTGGATCCCATGCATTTTCCTACCCAGGTACCCTAGGTGAAGGAACGTGTAGCTGGTGCTACTGTGATCCTGGTGTAAGTCAGGTCTACCAGCAAAAGACAGTGGAGAAAAACACTGAGACTGTGAAGGGCAAAACACAGATAAGTCCCTCCTGATGTACAAAACTGACTGACTGTCTCCTGCTCATAAGAACAGGAGCTGCAGGCAGGGATGGAAAGGTTCTCCACCCTGAGAGCCACAAACCAAAATCTCGATAAGGCCTGCCTCACTGCTATGAGCTTTGGACAACCAAAGCTGCTCCATCCCTCCTCTGCTTCTCCCTTACCCATCTCCAGGCAGAGATATTTTGATGGCAACGATGGGAGTGACCGTGTAGAATTTATAATTATCAGTGTCAAGAATGCTCAACGTTAAAGCCAAGTCCTTGACAATACTTGCACATAGCACCTTGGACATGGTAAAAAATAACGATGCATCTTTGTTTCCTTGAGGAATCAGGTTGAGTAACAATAACAGTTGGTAGGCAAGCTAACCGCAAACTCTTGGCAAGTTGTGAGGTAACTGCAACTTTTGTAATTTTATTCCCTCCATTTTCTGCTTTATGGCCAGAAGTTCATAGACACACCAGAAATTCAACTATCATTTTTTCCTACTGAAAAAGCAGTTCACTTATAAAAATATGTAGAAAATAAAAAGCTATCTCAATTATCAGGGTATGCATTTAAGGGAAATTATTTGTAGGCATGTTTTCACATGCATATATATCTATGTGTGTCTGTGCTTGTATGCACATGTGTAAATGTCTGTATACTTAAGAAATTAATATCAAATTATTGAAAAAATCACAGTTCAGTAACTAAACTGAGGAACCAATAAGCAATTAAAATATTTCAGTTTAGTTTTGACACTAAATGATCTGTAAGACATGGTGTCATTTGCAGAGATCTTGGTCAACTAGAAGCACTAATCATTCAAAATAGCAAACATATCGTAACCTATTATGATGTACTTCAGGTGTCATATTAAAATATTACATGAACAATGTTTATTGACTGAAGTGAGGTGTAAAGTAAAATATGATCTGAAAAAGTATTTAGTATTGTTGTCTTTGGAAAGTTATTGGATATGTTAGCAAGTGACCTGATGCAATGGAAGATCAGTAGATAGGAAAGGATCACTAGACCTTAGAGATTGTGCTGAGGCTCCTCAGTTCTTTATTTTATGGATTTGTGAATTCAGTTTGACTTGGATTTTGCTATTGAATAAACCACAAAACAATGTAAGTTGGAATAGGTGTTTGGAGACCATCTGGTCCATCCATCCCTCCAGACAGAGCCAGTTTCAAAGATAAACCAGGTTGCTTAGAGCTTTTTCCAGTTGAGTTTGAATATCTATATGGGGATCGAGATTCTATAAATTCTCTGGGCCCCCATTCCAGTGTTTGACGACCTTCATTGTGAGATGGTTTTTTTCCTTATATCTAATTGGAATTTCTCTCATTGTAATTTGTGTCTGTTACCTCATCCTTCCACTGTGCACCTCTGAGAAGAGTGTGGCTCCATCTTCTCTATAGCTACCATTAGGTAGTTGTGAACAGCAATTAGATGACCCTTAGCCATGCCTTCTCCAAGCTGAACAAAGATGGGTCCTTCAGCCTCTCCTCAAATGGCTGATCCCCCAGTCCAAACTCTCCAGGTTTCCAAAAGAAAGAAATGTTATGTACGCTCTACAGGACCTTGAGGTGGTGTAGCCCACACATTGGTTCATGCCCCACTAGGCATTGGAGTACCTTCAGAGTACCTTTGGAGTACCTTCAAAGCAAAACTTCTGGTTCAGTTTCCTCCTAAGGAATCTAGTTTGCACACATGAAAACCCCTCTGCAAACCAAACCAGCATGAAGTCACAGGGGACATTCTAGGGGTTACTTCAAAACTGCACTAGTGCAATTGTAGACTTCACTGTGGATACCTCTCTAGAAATGTCAGTGTTCACCTGTGGACAAAAAGGCAAGGCAAATTTCAGGAAGTGAGGGGAAAAAAAGGAGCTGAAACCAAAAGAATAAATAGGATTAGGCACTATACAAATCCAAGATGCATTTTGGACATTGCATGCAATTCTAGCCAGCCCATTCCCAAAAGGGTGTAATAGAACTAAAAAAATAAGATAAATGTGCAGTAGGAATGATCCACTGAAATAGCTGGATCCATTTGAAGACTTATCTGACAGATGTGGTTGACAGAATCCCTCTTTTCATGGTGAGAAAACAGACAGACGAGGGGGAGTCTAAGAAAAGACCACAGCATCAGTAGTGATGTAGAGAGGTGAAAATGGAATATTTATTTGCTACTTCCCACGACAGAAAAAGCAGAGATGATCAGCAGGCAGACTGAGAGCAGATGCTCACCTAAGGCATAATGTGTGTGGAATTATCAACTGAAGGTCCTGTGGAGGCCAGAAGTACAAGATCAGCCGGAGTCATGGAAAAATGCTCAGTCAGGAGCTCTGCAGCCTGAGGGTCCGGAGACAGCCTCTGGCACTGGATTTCCCTAATCTGATGTATTTTCCATCAGCTGGAAGGGTGTACAGGGACATAACCATGATGCGCTCACCCTATTTCTGTACATTTTATGCTCTTTACTTAGGCATCCTTAGTGGCCAGTGGCCACTAAGCCAATGGACATTTGTTTTAGTTTCATATGTTCATTCTGCGTTCTTATATTCTGTATTTATGGAACAGAAAATAAACTAACAGGGAGTGCAGAGAAGCATGCAGATGTTTTGTACTGCAATGGATTACATTGTTCCTAAGCAGGAACAGTTCAACGTATGTCCCAAAATGTTTGACACATACCACGGTGGCTTAACGTATCTTACACAAACTGGAGTGTCACAAGAGGTATTGCATTAATAACCTGGGATTTTCCAGAAGAAAAGCTTCAATAGGTTCAGAGAGAAACTCTGCCTTTTCACTGGGAAATGAAAAGCAATTTGATTCTGGTTGGATTAGAAGTCACCAAAAAAGTGGGTGATGTTTTGATTGGCTCGACGTACACTTGCTGAGAAGAGAAAGCAGTTGTCACTCCCCTTAGGAAACATGTTATAAAAGAGGCTTTCAACCCCACAGCCAAATCCCTCTGGAGGGAAGGGACCAAGAGCAGGTCTTGTCTGGCTTCTGGGCTCACCTGATACCTGGTAACTTCTCGGTTCTTTTCAGTCTTTCTTTCAATGTCTGCTGTTGTCTTTTCCTCAAAAAAATCCCAACCAACAAACAAATACAAAACTCCAAACCTCTGTATTATTAACCTAAATTTGTAGCTTACTAAAAAAGGTTAATCTGTTTTCCAGAAATTGCACAGGTTGAATAAGTAGTTCAAACATGTGCTAATACCTAGAATACTTTGATAAAACCACTCTGCTTACTAACTCCTAGGAAAAAATCTGGCTGGGTCAGGTTACTTTAGAGAGGTCTGTGGTTCAGAGAAATTGGTGGTCTCTTCGATGGAAACCAGCATATATTTTTTTATCTATGTCTCTATGTTAAGAACTTTATTTCATTTTCAGAATTGTTAACTTTGCCTACTTGTTTCTCCTGATATTTTCAAATGTATAGAAATTTGTGTAAACTTCTAATACTAATTTCAAAGCTGTTTTGGGCCACCCTCTACCATTTTGATTGCAGAAATACATTTCAGCACAACCTCATTTCCCTTCCTTGCTTAGGAGAACATAATTCTATAATTTGTGACAGTTCAGAAGATTCTCTACTGCCAAGATACACGACATTAACTACCTCTTCTTGATCCATAAGCCCCCTTCTAGGCTATCTTATCCCATTTTGCTGATATTTGTTCAACTATTAACTCTTTCAATGAAGGCATTACGTTTGCTTTTCAAATTTCATTTGTCAAATGGGAACTGATTTGGTTGTCCATTTCCATTCTAGAACTGCTGCCTGTAGACTAAGACTGAGGATTTTGAGCAAGTTGATTTTAGCTGTTATTTCTTGATAAATTTAAACGTTGCAAAATGAACATTTTTTTTTCTGAAGTTTGTAAGTGTGACTGTATAATCAGCTCATTTTGCTTAGTGTGGTTTATTTATTAGATAAAACATTTAACTAAAAAAAAAGTCGTGATTGCATTTTGGTTAAGGGCTATTTGCAAAATGTGAAAGAAATCCGAGCAATCAAACTACTAAAATAACTTGATGATCACATATCCTGAAAGCATGTTGCCCCATATATGTTTGTTTCTCCCAGAAATGCTCACACAGCAGTCATGATGTCATATGGGTCTCACTGGTTATTTTTGAAAGTTTGAAGAAAAAGGAAATATCAATGCCATTTGGATTAACACAGTATTTGTACAGTTCAGAAGACTGTAGATCCCGGGGGCTGACTGTCATACATCTTTCTTGGTCCTTTTCCTTACAGTGACACAGCAAATCCGCAGTCATGAAGATCCTTTACCTGCTCTTTTCCCTCCTCTTCTTGGCACTCCAGGTTTCTCCAGGTAAGATGGAAAAGAGATGCTAGAAGAGGATTTTTGTGCACCTGAAGTAAACTTCCCAGCACATTTTAACCACTACTGGTTAAAATTGCTAGAAACTGAGCAGGAGTTAGTCAAATAGCTCAGTGCCTGTGCTCCCCTATGAAAACTCTTTCAAAGGTGGAGAAATTATGACTTCTGAAGAAAAGCGATTTTTCACTTCTGGTGTCTTCCTAAAAAGATCGTGCTAAACGCTCTGGTGTTAGACACTTGAGGTGGTGTCTGTGGTGGCCATGATCTTTGGATAGCAGCACACTCAGAAGTGCATATGCAGGTGAAAATGAAGCCTGGCCAACTATTTTCGGATAGGAGCCAGAATTAAAGCCTGTGGACCCGTGACCCTTTTCTGTAAGGTAAAGGGACAATGAGTCAGGAGGTCTGTATCACTCTCCACCTGGAGTTTAAGGCCATCCGTTTAGATGCATCCGTGAGCTAAGGATCCCACCTCTGCGAGGTGTAGACCTGCTTTGTAATCTCACCTCTTACATGGCCTTTCAACACGGCCAAATCTGGGCAACAGTCCTTAAGGCAAGTTGGTGGTGAAGGCAGCTCAACGAATGGGAAACCCTGCTGGCATTACGACTGCATTGCCCTGCCCTGCAGAATGAGAGGGAAGGAAATTTTTTTGTTATTGTTGCAGGTTTGTCTTCACCCCGGCGGGACATGTTTTTCTGTAGAAAAGGGTCCTGTCACTTTGGAAGATGTCCTATCCATCTGATTAAAGTTGGAAGCTGCTTCGGCTTTCGCTCCTGCTGCAAACCGTGAGTTTGACATTCACCAAGGCTTATCTGCAGTATGAGCAGACAAATCTATTCTGCCTGTGTCCTTAACCCCAAGGTGCTATTGAATCTTCAGATTGGATAAAAGGAAAAAAAAACTGTTACGCCATGAGGACAGTCAAGCGTTGAAGTAGGTTGAGCCCCACGGTGCTCTTTCTCCTGAGATGTGCACCATGATCTGCCCCAGCAAGAAGGATAAAGTACGGTCGGAGATGTCAGCCTTGTGCTGTCCCAGCTCTGCCTGACCCCTTTACAGCTCCTATGCCAGAGCTACATATCAGGGGTTGGTGTTTGCAGAACTGGGCTGCTGGGCTGTATATGGGGAACAGAGGGGAATTCAGTTACGCTGCAGGGTGAACAGAGATCTCCGAGTGCCATCAAATGTGTGCAAAAAGTGCAACAGCGTTGTAAAAAGAAATTATCGTATGGAAGGTAGCCTTCTATTTTCACTCAGGAATGAATGCATTCACCCCAATATCAAGGGACGTCAATTTAATTGCCTGCTTTTCCTGAAGCAATAGGAAAACACTCTTCTTACTCACAGGCATGAGTGCACAGGGCTGTCCCAGCATGACTGCACATGACATTAGGCATTTTGGAAAGTATTTATACTCAAGAGGAAAATATGCACGGACTGAGAGTAAGTAAGGAGGAAATACAAGCAGAAAGAGAATCTGAATCTTTTTTTTTTTTTCTTTGTGCAGGCCATGGCAGCTATAAAAACTTCATGGACTGTCCATTCAAGAGCGATGAAAATTTCTTCTAAACCTAGGAATTTGCTTTGAATCCCCTTACTGCTAAAACCACCGGATCCTGCTACAAAGCCTCATGCACCTTTCATTTTTAATGCAAAAAGCATTATGATGTAGAGTAAATCCAAATGTATTCTGCATTGCTTTCCCTCCTTTTGAATAAATTGTTGTTCCTTAGCATCCACATCACTGAAACATGGGTGTCTGTTGCATGGGCTGAGGGCAATGATCACACCTGGGTTTGACGCACAAATCCCGGAGGACAACAATTTACAGTGCCAACTGCTCCTTAATTTGAGCTTTTCTGAGACATACAGCTGTCCAGGGCTAGACAGACATGGACCAAAGACCTTACCCTCCAGTACCAAGAGATAGGCTGGCTGGAAGAACTCAGCTCCCCTTTGCGGGAATGTGTTCAGATGCCCAAATCCTTTTTTTCTTACTATGCAGAAATGTTTTCTTGGGGAAAGAAAAATAGAAATAGCTAAAAACCCAGACACCCACCATCCATTAAAACATCAGCATGTGAGACTCAATGTTCTGGCTTATGGAAAATGCCCGTGAGCATCCCAGGAAAGATGTAGGACTATTTTCTTTTTTTTAAATAGTGCAACAATTTATGCTGGTTCTTTTCTCTCCAGCAGCTCTTTGTCCTGTAATTTCACAGCAATGGATGCAAGTTTGGCTTTCTTTTTTTCCACCTGTCCCTCTGAGACGATGCATAAAAGACAATAGATGGAGAACCGCTTATACTGGTCTCTTCATTAGCTCCTCTCCCACTCCCTCCACCGTACGGCACACTCCCTTCAGTTCTCCGTTGGGATACACACATTTCTGAAATGTTGTTCAGGAGGGGATTTTGTTTGCCTGCCAAAATTGCAGCATTTATATGTCCTATGACTATTTCTTTGCACTTCTTAGCAGGGAACAAACTTATCCTTAGGTGTCCCATCCAACTTCTAAATCTCTGTGGCACGATTTCCTATACTCAAGACATGGCGATAGTTACCATAACTCAAAGTCTTTGGAAAATGGTGTTTGGAGGAATGCATGCCTGGACAAGTTGCAGACCCTCTGCCTGGGGCTAGCTGACAGTCTGGCCCTGTCGTGCAGTGAGGCAGTTGGCAGGGCTTGTTCCCATGTCAAAGGGGGCTGAGAGGGTACTGTTGTCCCCCAGAGGGAACGTATCTAGAGGAGGCATCCAACATGCAACATGGCCATGCATTCAGGCAAAATCTCATGCTCCAGGCCTCTTCTCAGTGCATTTGCAGCAGCTAGATTATGTCCACCCTCAAAAAGCAGTTCAAAACTGATTGGGCAGATTTTAGAAAAATGCCTCTGAGTGTTTATTTCATTTTTTTTCTCTTTGGTGTAGGCTGTAGGCTTGCTGTCTATCTGACACTGCTAAGAGAAAAGCAAAGAGAATGCACAGGAGCCTTGGTTGAAAGCAAGTCCAGCACGCTGTATTAAGAGGGGAAAAAAAGACACCGGAACAGAGACAAAGCAGTGAAAATCTGTGCCTAGAAAACATCAGGGTGTTTTTAGTTGTCATCATGACAGAAGTCATAGGTTTTGCTGAGAAATGCAAGTGTACAAAGGAATTAGCTTACAAAGAACAGTTGCTGACTATTCCTTAACCAGCAGATAAGCACGATTATTATATTATATTATATTATATTCACTTTTAGCCTAAATACGTTATGAAAATGTAACACCTAGCCTGCTGTTCCTTGTAGGATTTCCTACACTAAAGAGTGTTCAATGTTGTTAATGAACTATACCAAGAAGGTCCTTAGAAGATCTGATTTATGACATTTAAAATTACAGATTTTAATTTTTACAGTCCTCTAATAGACAGGACTTGCAAGAGGTCTTGACTCTTCCACAACAGCACATGGAGACCAGGCAGAATATCACACAGCACTAGAAATGGCACTACTGCTAACGCTCAAGCAACTGAAGCCCTCCTCACCTGTCTGTTGGTTCTCCTGACTCTATTGACTGCGATGGGAGTCTAGCCACCACTGCGTCTGTAGTCACCCAAATTAAGTCAGAGGAACTGAATCCCCCCAAATGTGTTGCATGCGGTATATATTGTAGAAGATATGGTATACATACTTCACAGATCACATAATATTTGGTACTGAAATATTTCTTCTTGCCTCAGCCTCTCTCTTGCCTCCTGCAGTTCTGCCTGAACTTGTCCAAATGCTTCATATTGCCTCGAGTGGCACCGCTTGGCAATGTAACCTTTTACGGTTATCTCTGGGAATGAAGTGCACACCGTGGAAGTGAAGGACAGGAAACATCATTATTTCTCAACATGTCAGGAGTTAGTGGGTAGCTGGCCACCAACTGTTGAGGTTTCTCTACAATTCAAAAGCTGAAATTTCTTGTTGATGTTTTTCAAGCCTTGACCTTTACCTTGACAAAAATTCTGGCCTCAGTATGTAGGATAATGCTTGCTATGAATGGCCAAATGTCACCCTTGTCCTAGTCCTTGTCCCTGGCAGCCACAGGCACCAGCAGCAGCAGATGTTTATGGAGGTCTGCACTGGGCAGTGTGTCCCTTGGGTGGGAACTACCCATCCTGGAGGCCCCAGGCTCCTCCTCATCTTGCTCCAGCACACTGTAACCCTCCTTGTTAGAGGCCATGCTGGGAGCTGTGCTGTACCATGCCACATCCCACCACGCAGCAGGGCGGGACCTCCCTTGCCCTCATCAGCACTTGGGGTGATCCCATGGGCAACCCCCAACGAGACCTTTGTAGATCTTAGAGGGAAATAGATCTCCTAGGCTGGCTGTCCAGCTCCCCCTCAAGGTGGCATCTTGAAGGGGTCCCATGGATCAGATGGGTAGTCCTGCAGGGAGTGAGCAGGGTGTCTTCTCCTCTTCACCCATCTGGAAACAACTTGAGGCTAGACTGGCTGCTCTCTGCCAGCAGGCTGACCTCACCCTTTCTACAACATGCCTCCATGATTGTGATCCACCTGTGGGTAAATATGTGTGTGTATCCATGAACATGTGTGTTCATAAGAAGTGACTCTGGTTGTTCTGGTGAAGACTTCTCTTTCCAAGGAGGCCACCCTCAGCCATCGCCAACTTTCCAGCTGGGTATGCAGCACTTGGCAGAGATGCTAGGCTTCTGTTTGTTGGCATTTGCTTCCATCATGTTTCACTGGGTAACTTAATGCAGCTCCCGCTTGCTGTGAAGATGGCTTTATGCTCTTTATTTTTCCAAAACGCACCGCATTAAGGAAGTGTTTGCAATTTTGTCTTCAGGGAGATCATTGGACAGCAAAACTCTACCCAGTGATGGAGTTATGGGGCAGAAGGCTCAGAAGAGGTTTTCGTTTTCTGCCTTACTCAAAAAGCAGACTCACACATATCATCAGGAGGTACAGCACAGAGATACAGTTACTTCCCATCTTGACAAAGCTGAACGTCCCTCCTAGGGAAAGCCCCAAGCCATGGGAGCCCCGAGTCCAGGGGTCATCTCTCAGGAGACATACAGGGAATGTCCTGTGCTCAACCCACCCCTTTCAGAGGTTCAGCTGTCTGTTTTCAAAGCCAGGATTCACATGGAGCTGCTACGTGGCCTTAAGTAACAGTGCTGTGTAAGAAAGAGCTGTGATAAGCAGGACTCTCCCAAACATCACTTGAGAGCTGCTTTTAAGCTCGATTTTTTTTCCCTGGCCCTTGCTTGAGCTATTTGCTAGGTTTGATCGTGGCTGTACACCTTGCTGACCTGCCTCATTGCTGTGAAGCCAGATTTCCTTGGTGGAACAGCCTGGCCTCGCTGCTCCCTGACAAGTATTTTGGTCACATGCAGACCTGCGCACAGACAAACATACGTGTTCACCTGCAGCTGCAGCACAGCTTTGCGTCCTGGTTTGTAGAAGGGCTGAGGTTAGTGCCTGATAGCAGAGAGCAGCAGGGCTGGTCTCGTATGGTCTCCAGATAGGAAAAGAGGAGGAGGCATCCTGTTTCTTCCCTGGAAACTGGGAAACTTTAAGATATAGGTTACCCTCAGCAAGCTTGCAGATGGCACCAAACTGGGAGGAGTGGCTGATACACCAGGGGGTTGTGTTGCCACCCAGAGGGACCTTGACACGCTGGGGAAATGGGCTGACAGGAACCTCACGAAGTTCAACATGGAAAAGTGCAACGTCCTGCACCTGGGGAGGAACAACCCCACGCACCAATTCATGCTGGGGGCCACCCAGCTGAAAAGTAGCTTTGCAGGAAAGGACCTGGGGGTCCTGGTGGACACCAGGCTGAACGTGAGCCATCAATGGGCCCTTGCAGCAAGGAAGGTGTGCTGGTTTTGGCAGGGATAGAGTTAATTTTCTTCACAGTAGCTAGTATGGGGCTATGTTTTGGATTTGTGCTGGAAACAGTGTTGATAACACAGGGACGTTTTTTGTTATTGCTGAGCCGTGCTGACACAGTCAAGGCCTCTTCTGCTTCTCACCCCACCCCACCAGCGAGCAGGCTGGGGGGGGCACAAGAAGCTGGGAGGGGACCCAGCCGGGACAGCTGACCCCAACTGACCAAAGGGATATTCCACACCATATGGCGTCATGCTCAGCATATAAAGCTGGGGGAAGAAGAAGGAAGGGGGGGACGTTCGGAGTGATGGTGTTTGTCTTCCCAAGTCACCGTTACGCGTGATGGAGCCCTGCTTTCCTGGAGATGGCTGAACACCTGCCTGCCCATGGGAAGGAGTGAAGGAATCCCTTGTTTTGCTTTGTTTGCGTGTGTGGCTTTGCTTTACCTATTAAACTGTCTTTATCTCAACCCATGAGTTTTCTTTTACCCTTCTGATTCTCTCCCCCATCCCACCAGGGGGGAGTGAGCGAGCGGCTGGGTGGGGCTTAGTTGCCGGCTGGGGTTAAACTAAGGTAGTTTAACCTGAAGGTAGCTTGGGCTGCATTAGACCAAGTATTGCCAGCAGGTCGAGGGAGGCGATCCTTCCCCTCTACTCATTGCTCATGAGGCCACACCTGGAGTACCGTGTCCAGTTCTGGGCTCCCCAGTCCAAAACAGACATGGACACACTGGAGAGAGTCCAACGAACGACAACCAAGATGATGAAGGGACTGGAGCATCTCTCC